TCACTGTATTTCATGCTTAACATGGCTTCCAAAATATATGAGATAATGATTTTTCAAAACTTAGGTTAGATCATTGTTATTTTAGCTCATTACTAAAGCAAGGAAGCATTGGTTTTTATTCGATGTTAGTTAATTATTGTCACAAGTAATGTACAATGACAAAAATAAGGATTTGTCAAATTTAGTTTAATGTGTTTTTTATATCTGAAAACAAATACTTCAAGATTCACTAACTTTAAATTTTATATGTTATTTAATATTGTATTAATATTAAACTATTAAAATTTATTGAATAATCATATTTCTTGAATAAAATATTATTAAAAAAATATTCTCAAAATTTCAAAGTAAACGCGTTTTCCATTTTCATATTTCTCAAAACAGTTTTTCAAAATGACAAAAAGAACGCATTTTCAGAAATTTCAAAACAGACACTCAAAACACAAAACACAAAATGAATTCAAAATACAAAACACAAAACTGAAACACAAAGAGAACGGCCCCTTAGCGACGCAGTGGGCTGCTGAACTGCAATCCCCGCCGCAATTCCTTATTCTCAAGTATTAAATTCATATATTTAACTATTATGCTAATGATGGCAATCATGATTTTGGCATTGAAATCCCAACAATTACCCAAGTTCCTCACGACATCATCAATGGAATTTGAAAATAATCGTATTTGATTTATCCAAAGCTCACACACAAGTTAGAGTTATAACCGTATTCAAATTCAACAATTAATTTATATAATTGTCAAATTTGAAAATAACAAAAATAAAAATAAAAACTAAAACTAAAACTTGAAATTTAGGGCTAAAATTCGCATTCCAAAACCTGAGAAATCATAAGTATGAATTTCTACCCTAAAAAAAAAATTCTTCACTTAATCTTAATGGTTTAACAGAGAGTTGGCTCTAATACCACTTGTTGATATTTTAAACTTTATAAAACTAGAAACTTTTAAAACTTGAAAATCTATATTCCTTTATTCCAAGACCCTGCATGTCAAATCAACAAGAAAATTAATAATGCAAAACATACCTTAATTCTTTAGGAATAATTCTATAATACTGGATCTTGATTCCAGATCTTGAATGTTGATTACTGACTCTTTTGGTTATTGAGTTTTTGGTCTTGATTTTTGCTTCTTGCTCCATAATTTTGATTGTCTTGTTTTTCAATTTAATTGTTACAATCATTATTTTTGATTCTTGATTTTTCAATCCTTGTTTTTGATCGTGAATTTTGGATCTTCCTCTTCAATATGCATTCTCTTATATTCTTATGTTGATGTGATAACACAAAGAATGAGAAATTGCATATGAATTGGGGACCATAACTCTATTTATGGTTTCTATATGTATTTGACCCAACGTCAAATACAATTTCAATGGATCCGGTCTCCACACATATAATCTGGCCCACACTTTATTTAAATGCCCTAAGCCCAACAATTTATTTTTTTATTAGATCGTTTAAATTTGGCTCAACTTTAAGATAATTTTATACATAGTTAATTACATATGTAGATCCACATGACAAATTAATAAATTCAACACAAGCAACATTCATCCTTGTTAAGGAGCGCAATCATAAGAGCATTTTTTAGTAACTGTATAATGGGATTTTTTTTTTTTTTTTAATCAAATGCACAAATGTTTATTTTGAACCATATCGTACAAAAAATTGAAACAAAACTTTATCAAATAATTATCCAATTCTTCTCATAGTTGATTATTTCTTCAGTACACCTACAACTGATTTTTTTTT